AAATCGGCTCCAATGGAAGAAAATGGGGTTGAAATGAACCCAACCCCCGATTTAAAAGAACCTCACTGCCTCCAGCATTTCTGAATCTGCGGTCAGGGGACCGCATCTGCGGTCCCGCATTTGCGAAAATGCGCCGCATCTGCGAAAATGGGCCAAAGAGCTGGGACCGCATCTGCGGTCTCCAGGCCGCATCTGCGGAGCTGCTTCTGCGGCTTGGGAGCCGCATCTGCGGTTCCTGGCCTGGCTTGCCCTGGGCCGCTTCTACGATGGGAGGACCGCATCTGCAGTCTCGCACCTGCGGTCCACCAACCACAGGTGCGGTTATGGCAGAAGCAGCAGCTTCAGCACTTCTCAAAATTTCATTTTCGATCTGTTAACTGAATCCACCCGAGGCCCCCGGGACCCCATCCAATCATACCAACCAGTCCCAAAATACATTGCGGACTTGCTCGAGGCCTCAAATCATATCAAACAACGCTAAGACCATGAATCGACCTCCAATCCAAACTTTATGAACATTAGAACCTCAAACTTCTACTTTCGATGTTTAAACCTATCAAATCACGTCCGATTGACTTCAAATTTTGCGCACAAGTCATATTCGACATTACAGACCTACTCCAACTTCCGGTATCGGATTCCGACCCCGATATTAAAAAGTCCACTTCTGGTCAAACTTCTCAAAAACCTTCAAATTTCTATCTTTAGCCAAATGACTCCAAAATGACCCACGGACCTCCGAATTCACTTCTGATCGCGCTCCCAACTCCAGAATCACCATACGGAGCTACTCCCTGACTCGGAATCCCAAACGGACATCGATAACACTGAAATGCACTTCAACCCAAACTTATAAATTTTTTTCCAAAATGCTAACTTCCACAATAGGCGCCAAAACGCTCCCGGGTCATCCAAAACCCGACCCGGACATACGCCCAAATCCGAAATCATCACACAAACCTGCTGGAACCTTCGAATCCTGATTCCAAGGTCGTTTACTCAAAAATTCGATCTTAGCTAATTCTTTCAACTTAAACCTTCTGAAATGAGAACTTCCTCTCCGAGTCAACTCCGAACTTCCGAAATTTAATTTCGACCACGCGTACAAGTCAAAATGCATGAATTGAAGTTGTTCATGGCCTCGAACTGCTGAACGGCGCGCTAGGGCTCATCATCAGCGCGTAATGTAGACCTTTCAGGTGAACCTCCACGAAATTGCTGAGCGGACCCCGTTGGTAAGTGGTGCGGTGGAATTTCACCTTGTTAGTTCAGCTGGTTATTCTCGTTAACAGTTGACATAGTTGGTTGTCAAAAAAGTGAAATTTGGAAAGTGAAAAGATTATCAGATTCCCGGTAGCGGAATCAACTTGTTTAACATAGATTTCTCGGTCAAAGTCAGTATTTAGAAAAAAATGAATTACTGATATCCAAGATTTACTTCACTTTCCTAACAATTTTTGGAAGAATAGATCAAAGTATGAAAATGATTAACAAAAAAAATTAGAGAATGAACTGACAATCACTACTCAAAACCAAGACTTAAAACTTGTAGAGTAAGCAAAGAATAATATACTAGTATGTATTTCAGTAATAATCGTAACCTGCCTTTACAAATGAAATTCTTATCCTTATATAGGAGCATATGATCATAACGGTTTTCACATTTAATTTGGACTTATAAAGGGCATTAATTGTATTGACTGCCCGTTACCATAGATAACTAGAACTGGCATATTATGACTAAAGATTCTTCATAACCGCTCCGATTCCCCTTATTTATTCCTGGTTCATGTATTTTCCCTTCTTTGCAGCCTTCATTCATTTCGTTCCCGTTTATCTTTTGACAACTGTCAGGCCTGGTTCTTTTCTCTATGCTACCCCGTGGGTGTTTTTCCCGTACCTTCCTTGCATTCTTAATTCAATTAATTAAGAGTGTCACTTGTCTCTATATCGACGCTCCACGCATCATGCCTCGTCGGCTTACTGATATTTCACGTGTCATGTCTTTTTTCTACAAATACAAATACAATATAGTACAACACAATACAATATATTATGAAATAATATATAACAACTATCAAAACAATTAGGGTTAAAAAATGTGGTCCCAAACATAAGCGAATTCAAATGAATTTCTATCAAGTTAATTAATAAGTACGTAATAATAAAATAAGAAAATGTCATTTTCATTGTTAGAGAAAGTCGTGATCGTGAGCTCAAATATGCAAAGGAAAAAGGTGGGGTCTACTACTTCAGTCAGATATAGGCGGGACACATCATTTTGCCGACCAAAATCATCAGCAAAAGTTTCAAGGCCCACCACTTCCACGTGGTTTTTCTTTTAGATGATTGGGAAACCTTCATTATTGTACTTCAGAATTGCAGATTTACAAGTACACACCGGAGCGATGATGGCAGGCTCGGCCGAACTCAATAACGTTGATTTAAATCATGTATTTATTTTTAAAATTTTTATTAAATATGTATGAATTATTAATTTAGAACCTAGTAACTTAAAAAAATTAGACTTATGAACCCGGCCATAAATTTGAAATACTGGCTCCGCCCCTACACAAAAGATAATAAAATGCGCAATTCAACTTTGGAAAAACTCCCCTAAGGTCCAGAGAGATATGAATGGGAAAAACACAGAAATGGTATGTCTTGGCCGTTTTAAAAAAGATTTGGTATGTAAAATGATTTATGTGGTCAAGGTGTGTGTAAAGGAGATTGGGTACAAGTTCAGCGGGTAATCGATGTATTAAGCCAATAGTTTACGATAATGTCTTGCATATATGCTAATGACGTAGGGTGGATCGACACATCAAGCGAGTTTGGCAGGTTTCTAGGTTGGCAAACTTTTATAGAAGAGGAGCACATGTCATCATAGGCTAATCCTGCATCGAAATGAAAGATAAAAATAAAGAGTTTAACAAGGCATAATACAAGTTTGTGTTTATATACGCTTTTAGGCTCGATGATATATGGTAACCCAAAGAAAAAATTCATAAGTTCTATTTGGCCAAAACGAATAATACGCGCGATGAACTTGACTCGTAACAATTACAATCTTGAGCTCAAACAAAAAAAAAAAACTTGAGCTGGCATACACAAAAGATAATGTGGGGTAAATATTTTAATCATATAATTCTTTATTTAAAATAGATAAAAATAACACAAAAGTCAATAAGTAAAACACAAAAAAATCATTGTGCAATTATTCTGACTTATTGCCGGTTTAATCAAGCTTCTCAAGAGGCCAAAAATATTTTTTTTTTCTTCTCAAAAGCACTTTTTTTTTCTAACTTGAGGCGTTTGGCCAAGTTTTTTTGGAGGAAAAAAGTGCTTTTGGGAAGAACCAGAAGCAGTTGCGAAAAGCAAAAAAAAAGTAGCTTCTTCCCAAAAGCAGAAGCAGAAGCAGTTTTGACTTTTCTTCTTACCTAAAATACCCTTAACAAAATATAGTATATACCAAAATAACCGTTAAACCTAATACTTAGGATATTAATGTATAAGTATTTCTTCTTATTTTTAGGATATCTTTCTAATATATAGTGACTGTAGGGGTAATTGCTTTTATATTTGTTGAATGAATTTTAGTATATTTAACTTATATTAAAAGAATTAAGTATTTTTAATTTTATTTTTATATTTTACTTAAATAAAATAAAAATATTTAATTATTGCATGTAATAATAAATTTTTGAGATTATTTATTTACTTATAATATTAACTATTAAGTAATATATTCATGTCCTTACTCGTAATTTGATACTTAAAAGCACTTTCTGAAAAGCTTGGCCAAACACAAAGTATTGCTCAAAAATGCTTTTCAGAGTGATTAGCCAAACACAAACTACTTCTCTCCAAAAAATTTAAAAAAAAATACTTTTCAAGGTAAGCTGATTTCTCCAGCTTAGCCAAACAGGCTATTAATCATATTATAATTGATTACAAGAAAGATGACTTTTTCCTCTCATTTTGTGCTGTCCTTGTTGGCAAAGATTCTTGATATGGTTTGATATTTCCACTTGCGTGGCCTGCACTAAGCCGTCGAATTCCATCAATCTTCACCGTTCATTGCATCCAAATCTAGCTCTGGACCCACATTGATTTTGTCTTAGGATTGGTTTGATTCATAAACAAGTTATGCGGCAATTAATAACGTATGAAATTGTACCGTATAAATTAGTAATATAGAAATAAGTAATGAATGAATTGCAATATCGAGCTTAACTAATAATGCATGAATTGAGAGTAAAAAATATATTTTGATTACTTTTAGAAAAACTATTTCTTGCATGAGAGTTATTTGGTCATTTTAGTTTCTTTAAATTATGTATTATTAATTCCCGTATTCTTATTCCACCTTTCATTTCCCATAAAATAATATATAGAATTTTGCAAAATATATACGTATATAACTATGCGTGCAATAAAAATGTTAATCAAGTACACTGCATTGCTAAAAGAACAATCATGTGTACTAAGTTCTTGCTATGCATGGGGAAGAACCAGCCCATAAGGGTCTATTGGACGCAGTCTTACCATGCATTTCTGCAAGAGGCTGATTGCTAATACAAAATTTTATGTATTATAAATGCTAATTAAACATTAGATTGTTAATACAAAAATTTATGTACGTATAATAATGCGTATTACAACGCTATATAGCGGATTTGAAATGACTAATCCAATATAGTTAATTTTCCCATTTTGTGGAGAACAAACCACGTCAGACACAAAACTAGTGGTACAATTAATTTAGACACGTAAATCGAGTATGCAAATGGCACGCAAGCAAAATAATTGACATAAGAATAAAGAAATAAAAAACACGAATTTTAAACGCGCCACCTCACCCCTAATAAAACAACTCAGCACCTTTACCAACCGTATGTACAAAATGATATATACGTATACGTGAGTAAGCTGGTTTAGATACGTACACGTGTTTGGTGACGTGGATATTGCCTTGACTCTCTCTCTTTTCTTCTTCTTCTTCTTCACTCAATTTCTCTCTCTACAATTTTCTCATTTTCTCTCTCTTGCCATATTCTCAGGTATGTTCATGTTCATATTTGGATTTATGATAATTTTTCTTTTTATTGTTTTGTGAAATGTTTTGGCTTTTTAAGGTGAATTATTTTGAATTTGCTGTACTTTTTACTTTCTGTTATTTGCTGACATTTCTGTTGAAGAGAATTCTTGACTTATAATTGTGAAAAAGAAGGAAATAAATAACTAAGAGTTTTAAGTTTAAGTTATATACGCAGTCAGTTTAAGAAACTTTTAATTATCTTTAGCTGTTGTAGCATATAATCTGTCTTATTTTCAATATGAAAATGCTTAGAAATTAAGAAAGTTTGTTAGTCCATGGAATGTAATTTAGAGTTCATGTAACAATGTTTTATTTTTCTATTATTTGATATTTTCTAGTTGTAAATTTGGTGGATTGACGAGGACTAGTTTGTCATTACATACTAGGTTGTTCTATAGATCAAGTTTTGTAAAGTTTGTCCCTTTACTTTGTTTTGGATGAAGACTATGAATGGACTATTATGCCCCTGCTTCTCTTTCCTGATTGAGATATATCAATAAAAAGCAACTAATTTTTACAGGAAATTCAATAAAGGTATTCAAATTTTGAACACCCTTTGTTAGTGAACTTTGCAAGGGTGTTCAAAGTCTATTTTTTAATCAATAACAAGTAATATTTTACCCTATACATAGTATAAGTTTTCGGCGGCGAAGGCTGTTCAGTTGACCGCCCTTAGCCATACATAGCTTCGCCCGTGTATGTGATACTTTAGATTAGACCATACTTGTATTAAGAAAGAGGGAAGCTTTTTTATGCCATCTTTGGTCTTGTGAAATTTTGTTGTTCATTGTATAACAGGGCTGTATTTTATGCAGTTGGCATAATAATCTTGGTCAGTAAGTACAAAAGGAGATAATCATTTCAGCAGTGAACTAGTAGAGCATCTAGTTGCTTTCTGATACATGGGAAATAGTGAGGAAGGAAAATCTTGTAAGCCTGAGAAATCATCTTCGACCGCACCAGTAAGCGCGAATACAGTAATTGTTATTGTTCAATCGGTGTTGTGTGTTTGACATTGTTCTCCTATGCTTCAGAGTATTGTGGTTATTGTTAATCTCCTCTTTGAAGTTAGTCTCTGAGTAGTTTGAAAAATTCTTTCTGTATTGACAGGACCAGAGCAATATCCACGTGTATCCTGATTGGGCAGCTATGCAGGTTAATCATTTTTCGCCTTACTGTTAGATATATATATTCTTAGAAGGGGAATGTTGGAGCAACGGTAAAGTTGTCTTCGTGTGACATATAGGTCACCGTTTCGAGCCGTAGAAGCACCCACTAATGTTTGTATTAGGGTAGGCTACATGACACCCCTTGGAGTGCAGCCCTTCCCCCGATCCTGCGTGAATGCAAGATGCTTTGTACACTGGGGCTGCCCTTTTTTTGTTAGATATTCTTGCCGTAGCTCTAGTGTTGTTGATATTTACATAGGCTAGTTAAATATTCAGGCATATTATGGTCCTCGAGTAGCTGTACCTCCATATGTTAATTCTCCTGTTGCACCTGGTCATGCTCCTCATCCTTATATGTGGGGACCCCTACAGGTATTTTCCAGGCCAAATGTTTCTTTTAAATTTTTGCGATTTGTTTGATCGAAGTGTTAGCTAATAGATTATTGAACTTTGATCGCGTATGTGCTAACTGGTGTGCTCCTTTTTTTTAGCCTATGATGCCACCTTATGGTGCACCATATGCAGGAATCTATGCGCATGGTGGTGTTTATGCGCACCCTGGAGTTCCTATCGTGAGTCTCCATTCCAGCATTTCTGTTTTTTTTTTTTTTTATTATCAAAAATGCTTTTAGATTCCTACTTTAGGGCATTGGTAGACAACTTATAACATATTGAGCTAGACCCACTAATTTCTTAAAGGACCGAGAAGAAGTATCTGGGAACTAGAATGAAGGTATAACTATTTTGAACAATAGATCGAGAGTGAAAAACAAGCAGCTAACTGATTTAGAATTAAGCCCTACAACTGGCCAACAACAAATTCCAGTATCTACACTATTAGAAGTCTACTGCTCATCCATTGTTAAGAAGTTGGTGTATTTTCTGTGTTCTTTAATATGATGGAACAAGAAAAGCTCATCTCGATAATTAATTTTAAAGATTAGTTAACAGATTGGCTCAAGTGAATAGTGATCATCGGTAGAGGGTATCATATGAAAACTTGCCCACCTTTACCAGTTCCTTTTTCTTTGTGCGATTGGGGCATTTTCACTTGGTAGGATGTACGTGTTGTCTCAAGTTAAAATTTCATAAGGAACATAGGGAACTGATTTCTTATCAAAAGTAAAATAAAATATAAGGATATTATAATTTCTGAATATACTTGGTTTTGTCATCTTCATATTAAATCTATGACTGTATGTTTACAGAGAGTTACTGTACATGTAACTCTAGCGACAAAGAGTTGTGGCTAAAACGTGGAACATGCTCAATTTATGGAATATCTGTTTATCTGATTTCAGGTGTCTCGTCCTCAGGCTCATGGAATGACATCATCTCCTGCTATCAGCCAAACCATGGTATATATTATTTTTAGTTCTTTCGGTGTTTGTGAACTTATTTGTTCCGGAAATGCATGCTGATAAAATATTGTTTCCTTTAGCTCGATGTATTGCCTAATGGTGGGATTGAAGCTAAATCACTCTACATCGTGTAGGATGCTGCTTCTTTGAGTATGGACACTTCTGCTAAGTCTTCGGGGAATACTGATCAACGCACGAGTAAGTTAAAAGGTTCTAATGGGCTTGGAGTCTCAATAGGAAATTGCTGTGTTGACAATGGCGACGGTACCGACCATGGACCTTCTCAGAGGTTTGTGCAAAACCAGTTAATGATTGGGATCATATTCAGTTATTTAAGAACCATGCTCGACTCAGTCATAGATAGAGTATTTACAATTACTGTAACCCTGTTAAAGGTAATTGTCTAATTATTAGATTTCATGTCGTGACAGTGGGCATACTGAAGGTTCAAGTGATGGAAGTAACATACACACAACAGAGGTATGATCTGAGATTATAAATCCATTTCTCTCATTTAATTTGTTTTTTCAGTTTGTATTGGGAAACTGATGCTTTCTCGTCTTACTCTAGGCGGGTGAGAACAGTAAGAAAAGAAGCCGTGAGACAACTCGTAACGACTGTAAGAGTTTGGTCTCTTTTTCACTTTGTATCCAAATTTGCCTGATTTCATCTTTTGATCTCTGTTCTTCAAACTTTTAACAGCTGGTGACAGAAAGACTCAGACACGAAGCAGTCCACAACCTAGGGAAGTAAATGGTGCTACCAAGAAGGAAACTTCTATAGCTATTAGTCCTGGTAACATAGCAGAGAAAGTAGTCGGAACAGTATTTTCTCCAACCATGACTACTACTCCGGAACTGAGAAATCATGTCGGTACACTAGTGAAAGCTAGTCCAACTAATGTTTCACGAATCAGTCCTGCAGTGCCGGCCGAAGTTTGGTTACAGGTACATACATGAACCAGGTGAACTTTGCTTGCTTATTTTGACATAAACTTCGGTGTCTGCATTGTTGCTACTGTTTCTTTTCATGTTTCTCGAGCCGAGGGTCAATCGGAAACAGTCTCTCACCTTCCCAGGATAGGGGTAAGGTCTGTGTATACACACCCTCCGTAGACCCCACTTGTGGGACTTCACTTGGTTGTTGTTGTTGTTGTTGTTAAATTTGGTGAGAACCGTGTTTATGTTCTTATTGTTAAATGAAACTATAATTTCAGAATGAACGTGAGATCAAGCGGGAGAAGAGGAAGCAGTCTAATAGGGAATCAGCAAGGCGATCAAGGTTGAGAAAACAGGTAATAGGGAAATGTGCACATTATAGAATATTTATGTTTTGATTTAATCTTATTATATGGCGTATGTTTTACTGCTTTATATACTAGTTCTGATACACATACTTTTATTATTTCCCTCCTCCCTCCAGGCAGAAGCTGAAGAATTGGCAATACGAGTTCAATCTTTAACCTCCGAAAATTTGGGACTCAAATCAGAGATAAACAAATTCACTGAAAACTCTGAGAAACTAAAGCTTGAAAATGCCGCTTTAATGGTACGACTTTGTTTCTTTGTCAAGTATTCTTCGTCAATTTAGTGGTCACATGTATATTCATTTTCGGGCTTGTCAAATGTGGTCTGGATTGCGCAGGAGAGACTGAAAAATAAACGACGAGGACAAGCAGAAGAGGTAACTTTAGGTAAGATTGATGATAAGAGACTGCAACCAGTTAGCACAGCAGACCTATTAGCAAGAGTCAACAACTCTGGTCCGTTGGATAGAACCAACGACGATAGTGAAATTCGTGAGAATAATACCTCAGGAGCAAAGCTTCATCAACTTCTTGATGCTAGCCGGAGAACTGATGCTGTGGCTGCTAGATGATCAATAATCACGACCGTGCCCGCCCTTTGGTGCAAGTTTCACTCTTACTGTTAACGCGCAGAAGCACAATACAAAAATGCAGAATCGGATTCTGAAACTTCAGAAATTCTAATTTTACCTAGTTGTAACTTAGCCATGGACGAAGCTGAGGAATACTTTTTTTTCCCCTTCACTTCAGAATGCCATATTGCAAGGTCTTTATGTAAATTGCTAATGTTAGTCATACTAGAAAACTTGACTGGAGTGAAAAGATTTTGGTTTGGATGTATAAAAGTATTGCCTATGGAAGCAGTGAACAAGTGATCTTTGTGATATGACTGATGCCTTTGTTGAAAAATATTCTTCACGTTGATTAAAGGGCAACCCGGTGCACTAAGCTTCCTCTATGCGCAGGATCCGGGGAAGGGCCGGACCACAAGGGTCTATTGTACGCAGCCTTACCCTGTATTTCTGCAAGAGGCTGTTTCTACGGCTGGAACCCGTCTTTTGCCTTTTAACTTCTCTATCATTGCTTCTTGGTATTACTCATTTTTTCTCCAACTCCCAATTGTCAATGTAACATTGACCTGTCAATTCGGTTTCAATTTCAAAATTAAGCTTAATATTTCATTTTCATGCTTCTATTTAAACGTAATTTATTAGAACTTATAGGTTCAATTCCATCAATTCCTGTGGAGGTAATTCTTACCACTACTCCTAAGAGGAATGATTTTTAATCTCCATACATTTAAAACGGAGGGGAGCCTTAGAGTAATGATAAAGTTATTTTGTTTGACCTATATGTAACGGGATTAATTGATTGGATAGTTGAGACTCGTAATCTTTCTAGGCACAACTTCTACAACGATAGATAGAAAGGTATGATTAGTTCTACAAATCTTACTACACCGACCATAGTAAACTGATCCTTCTTACGGACACTATCCTTTGTATAAGTTATGATCCATCCAAATGGTGTTGGAGAAAACCTTTCATTCGTTGTTTCTGATTCGAGCCGTGGAACCAGTACTAATGCTTGCATTAGGCTAAGCCGTCTATATCACACCCCTTTGGAGTGCCTTCCCCCACCCTGCGTGAATACGAAATGCTTTGTGCACTGGGCTATCCTTGTACCTCGACAACAACTCACGACATTAATCATTCATAAAAATTCGAATTTTTTGCTATTTCGTATATAATTATTTACTCGAAATTTTGTTCTAATAATATTGATAGTATTTTACAAAATTGTGTATTACATTACTAAATATACCCGAGGTGAGAGACTAGCAAAATAAAAGTTTGGCCGAGAAAAAAGAATAAAGATAAGAATTTGGGGATAATTTAAGTTTCTTAATTTGTCTTTAATCTAGTCGAAACCTTCGCGCGTAAATCTCGGCTATTTAATCTTAATCCCCACACAATTATCTGCTTCCTGTCTTGGTCATTACCAGAAACCTTTCTCCTCTACTTTTGCTTCTCTTTTTCCTCTTTTACCTCAGCAGAAATATCCTACAAAAGAAAAAAGGAGAATTTAAAAAAAAAAAAAAATCTCTTCTCCAAAACCCAAGTTTATTCTTTTTTTGTGGTTTCTTCAATTATTATTGCCACCTCAAGATTCATATTTGATCTCTCAAATTTATATAAAATGTTCAACCTTTACACATGATATCATATCCAAATAAAATGCAACATTGAATTCAACTCCCAGGTTTTATCTCTGATTCATTTTTATGTTTTTTTTAACCCCACATTTTCATCTTTAATTTCTCTGGTTTTATACACAATGTTATTTGCATTCTTGGAAAAATTGCTTTCTTTCAACAATTCCAACTGCATCCCATTACAATGCTGAAAAGTCCAGAGGCGGAGCCAGAATTTGAAATTTGTGGGTCTGGTATTCTAGTTCGTTTATGTTATTGGGTTCTAAATTAATAATTTTTAAACACAAATACAGGTTTTGGACCAAAATTACTGGGTTCAGCCGAGCCACGAAATGTTGTGCTAGCTTCGCCCCTGCTGAAAACATAATTCAACGAAAGAAATGCTTCTTCATTCTATAGCAATTTTTCATATCATGCATATTTGAAGCTAGTATATACAAATTTCCATCTATATCGGAGAATCTGACCATCTCATTTGAAAATTTAAGTTGCTAAAATAACCATATTTTTATTTTCTTAATTAAGTTTTCAATATGTCTCCTCACGTCTCATTTATTTTTATATCATGTGGCAAGCTTTACGTGTGAGCCTGTTTTTTTTTCATAAGTCAAATACGTGAATATTTTTTTGATGCTAAGTAGAAGTGAGATTCCAATTAAATATCTCCGCTTACGCTGATATCATGTTAAAGAGTATGATAACCTAAAAAAATATATTTTTATTTACTTAATTATATTTTCGACGTTTTATACCTGAAAACATGATTATCTATATCAAATTTGAATCCGCATGCAGAAACGGAGAGAAACAAAGAGGGGAATTTTGAAGAATGTCTATGAGAAAACCTTTGCAGAAGCCACCTGGATACAGAGAAACTGGAATACCAATTCAAAGGCCGCCACAATCACCATTCTACCCAGAAAAAAATAATTCGCGCAAAAGGAGTTTCTGCTGTTGTTGTTGTTGTTGTTACTTCTTCATCATCTTAATTTTCTTAATCCTCTTATTTATTGCTGTTGGTGCCATTCTTTATCTATGGTTTGATCCAAAACTCCCTATTTTCCACTTAAAATCCCTCGAATTCACCAAATTTAATATCACAGACAGTCCAGACGGGCCTAAATTGAGTGCACAAGCAACAGTTAGTGTAGAGCTGAAAAATCCAAATAAACAGCTCAAGATTATATATGGAAAAACAAACATAGAATTGAAAGACGACGATGGTGTTACTTTGGGTAATGGAAACGTTCCAGGCTTCGTCCAGGGGACGAAGAATGTGACAGTGGTTAAATTTGATATTAATATGAATGAATTGTTATACAGCGAAAATGTTGCGAAAGTAAGAGATGGATTAAAGAACAAGAGCTTGAAGGTTTCTGCTGATGTTGGAACTGGTTTTGGAATTGGATTTAGTGGTTGGAAAAGTCAAACAATTGGAGTTAGAGTGAGTTGTGGAGGTTTGAGCTTGAAGCAAATGGAAAATGGTGCTTCACCAAAATGCCAGATTACTGTGCTTAACTGGTAAGTAACAAGATTACTTGTAGTAAAAATAAATTAAGAAGTTTGGTACGCGAAATATATTTGCTAAGAGTCTTTTGATATTGTGAAAGATTTATATGTCAGTAGAAAATATAAAGAACGTCAAAATGGATCAGAGCTAAATGGATAACGATGCTTAGGTAGCCGGCTCCGACTAGGTTGAAATTGAGGCTTAATTGTTGTTGTATGGAATTTGGTGAATCAATTATAGTTTTTATGCATTAAGTTAAAGTTATTTTCTCATGAAATTACTATATTATTGGAAAGTTGTTCTTAACGAACCTTCATTGTTTGATCTGCAGAATTCATCTAGATTGATTAATTTTTTCATGCCTATGGGCACGCATCAGAGGCAGAGTCAGGATTTGAAGTCAGCTCCGACAGACAGGAGGAATATGAGTTACTACGGTGCTACATTATACATGAATAAGACGCATATATTGGTTTAAACACCTTGTGTGTGTGTTTATATATATATATTACAGGTGAAGAGAAATGGTAAAGATAAAAGGAATGGAGTATAGTGTTAGTTGAATACATAGAAGAACTAGAGGTGTTCTCTCCATTTCTTAGTAGATGTCTTTGTACAAAAATGTCAAGTGACTATGTATACTAGGAATGACAAAATCAGTATGTACTATGACTAACTTGTAATATAGTTTTTAAGCAAAAAAGAAAAGCATTATAAGTGTTCATGTTGTCATGTATTAATTGGCCATTTCTTCCGTGTGAAACATCTTGCAGGGTGTTGAAACCTACAAGTCACGCGTTCGAATGATAAAAACAATTACTAATGCTTATATTATGGTAGATTATTTATATTATATTCTTGGGATGCGGTCCTTTCTCAGACCTTGCATGTATGGAGAATATTTTTTGCATCGGATTGTCCTTTATATATATGATGAGGGAATCAGATCCATCTAAGAGATACTTATGTATATAACCATATTTAATTAGAGTCTTTTATTTTTTAATTTTTTTTCCAATTATACTTGGGGGGGGGGGTAGGGGGGTAAGGGAA